AAATCGCTGCCTTGGCAGCGATTTTTGTAAAAATATTCTTTTATTTTATTTTATTTTTTGAAATTTCTGTCAGCTAGTCAAGATCTGATGGTGAATTTCTTTTATTTTTTTTTAAATCGCTGCCCATGCAGCGTTTTTTCTATTCTTTTATTTTACCATCAGATCTTGACTAGCTGACAGAAATTTCAAAAAATAAATAAATAAAAGAATATTTTTACAAAAATCGCTGCCAAGGCAGCGATTTCAAGAAATATATTTTATTTTTTTTTGTAAAAAAGCTGTCAAAAAGGCTGAAAATTGTGCCTTGACAGCTTTTTTGTTAATTTTTTTTTCTTTTTTTTAAAAATTCGTTTCTCTTCAATTTTTATTTTTTAAAATTGTTTTTCGTTTTGAAAACAAGGCAGTGTTTTTATTAAAAAGTAATTTTTTTAACAAAAAAATCTGAAAAGGCAGTCTAATTAAGAAAAGATTTTCGAAAAAAAAATTAAGGAAGACGCTGCCAGGGCAGCGATGTTCCAAAAAAAAGTTTTTACAAAAAGCTGCCAATTTTTTTTTTGTTATGAAAACGCTGCCATAGCAGCGATATTCGGTGGAGGAAAAATTAGAGTTAAAAAATCGCTGTTGTGCCAGCGATTTTAGTGAAAAAAAGAAAAAAAAAAAATTAGACAAAAATCTCGGGCCCAGCGGCGATTTTATATTAAAGGAGTGCACGGCGTTAATATGTGTCAGAGGAAAATCGCTCCGGTAGGAGCGAATTTGCCGTTTTGGTTTTAAAAAAAAATGATGTGCCCTTTTGGAATTTTTGGCAATTTTTTTTGCCCTTTTGGCTCCGGACTCATAACGATTGCAAGTAAGCCATTGAGTTTAAATTGTTTGTAATATGCAAGTCGGTATTTGCTGGTTTTTCACTATTTAATTAAGTACCCCTTTGGCACAAATGTAATACTTCCTCCATAAAAATAAATGGTGTTTTTAGCTGGTATATACTCCTTCTGCCCAATAATAATTGCCTACTAAGTATTAACTTTGCATACTTTTTAAGAAACTATAAATAGAAGAATAATTTTATTATATCATTCTTTGAATATAATAAATACAAGTGTCTTGAAAAAATGTAATAGGAAAATGACTATAATTAATGATAAAGGTAAATTAGGAATCAAGTATAAAATTATCCATTAATTTCATACAGTGGACAAATATTGTTGGACATTCCAAAATAGTACAGTGTGCAACTATTGTTGAATAAAATGAGTATCTTTTTAAGAAAATTATTCATCCCTAAAGAGTAAGATGTATTTTTCTAATGTATTTTTAATAAATACATTATCAGACACACCCTTTTAAAAAAACTACTCACTCCTAAAAAAAAACAGTGTTTTACTTTCTTACCACTAATCAAATGTGTTGGAGGAAAAATTGTCTCTTTAAAACAAAAGATATATATATATGTAAAAATATGACTTATTTTGGAATGAGAAAATAATTTCTTGATTATGTAAAATTCTCTTAATTTAAATTTAATTTTTTAAAAAAACATCATTTAATCTTTAATTATGTAAAACACCGGTTGCTTTTGAAACAAAATGAAAACCTAAAAATACTACTCGAAGGGAGTAATACTTTGTATTAAAGTCTTCAGCAGTCGCACAATTACAAAATGTCGCTAGTAACACATGGCCCACATGCTGCTAAAAACATTAATTTGCACTAGCGTAGCCGTTTTGTACAATCATTCTCGTTAACGCAACACATGGCCACTAGTTATGTTCTTGGTAGCTTCCAATTTCATCATACTGCTTACATTTCAAAAATCTCATTCCAATTTGTTAAAAAATTTCACGTCGAAAAAGGGATGGAAATTTGGTTTTCTTATATGGACTTGAATGATTCTTCCCTCATGAGCTAACTTTTTGGGTTGAGTTAGACCCAAAATCTATCTTTATATGGTATCAGAGTCAAGCCCGTCCCGATTCCTTGTTCACTAATGTTGGACCCATATTATAGTGTCCATGCTCCAGTCTGGGCGTGCGGGCGAGTGTTAAGAATTTCCACATCGAAGAAGGGATGAGAATTTGGTCTCCTTATATAGACTTGGACAATCCTTCCCTCATGAGCTAGCTTTTGAGGTTGAGATTCGATATAATTCAAGAGCTAGCTTTTGGAGTTGAGATTCAATATAATTCAAGAGCTAGCTAGTACGTTCGAAGAAAGGAGAATATTAAATCTTATAAGGAGCTCAATATTAATTATATTCATTTACTGAATGTGAGACATTTCGTTCATTAATTACTTTACTGGAATTGCTTGTTTTCTTTATCTTTAGATTATTTTTTTAAAATGATAAAAATATTAAGGAGAGTGGGGGTGGGGAGATGACTTTGGAGACAACTTCTTGATGTGGATAACATAAATATTAGAGTAAAAACTGAAAATGATGGAAATATGAGTCAGCTAAAATGACTTGTTGTGTATATAATATGTGTCTTAATCGATGTGTTTAATTTTCTGATGCATGAATGTAAACCCATAGCACTTATTATATTAGGTAGCAGTAGCAAACAAGTTGGACCCCTGGCTTGTAGAAGAAAAAGGCTCTTTACCGGTCCATATGTGTTTGCCAAATAAGAAAATATTAATAATGCCAATGATGAATAATATTATGAATTAGTATTATATTCTCAATGTCATGCGCATTTCATAATTAATCCCCTAAACCTCATTAGTATCATCATCATTCATCACTTTTCAGGGGGGTTTTAGTGACTTGAAAGGAAGCTGCCCATTTTTTATTTTTTATTTGTTGAGAGCTACAAGTAGTTGATATAATTTTAATTAGTTACAAATCATAACCGTCACTGCAATGTTTATACTTGTGCATGCGTTGTGGCTTTTTTGAGAGGTTAATTATGATTTGTGCGGAATTATGGATCATGTCGATTTAAAATAGATTTAAGTAATGTATAGTACTTATATATAAATATGTTTTTATACTGTTATTAAATGATTTTAAATAGAATAGATGCCAGGGCGATTCAACGGATTGAATTTGATGATCTCAAGTCAAAATATATTAAAAGGTTCTTAAAACTTCTTTCATAAAATTCATCAATAATGAGATAAAGAAAGCCCACATGGCTTTGATATAGAATGAAATGCAACACACAATATGTGAATTAGGCGTATGTTATATTATCAAATTCTCCTCTGTACAAAAAAAAAAAGGTAAAGGGAGTAGCCCATTATTCATTAAATTTTGAACCTTACTAGTTACTACACTTGCTTCGGGCAATTCTTAATTAGTTAGTTAAAGAATAAGATGACACAATTTTATTTTATTTTTGCATATATGGGTAATACCCTTTTATTATGAGAGCCGGCCGGAAAACAAGATTCTCTATAGGTGAGATGGGTACATGATAAATATATTGAAGAATTAAGTAGATAGTTATATATGAAGGAGAGAGCTAGGTTAGGTGCTCTGTACGTATTTATGTTGTTGGTTAGTGGTAATTTCACAGTACTTTATCAAAATAATAATAATAATAAGAGATAGACATCCAAGAAAATAATAGAAATAGCATCCATTGATATACTATTTGATCATGTCTTACAAAAATAACCACTATAATAGACTTTTAAATTTACGAGTGAAACTTAATGATAATGTCTTTTAGTTTCATCAATCTGTGGACTTAAAATTTCATTACACTACCTATTTATTACAATTACAAACGTTTGAAAAGTGTGTTGTAAAGTTTACTAAAATATCAACCCCATAAAAGAGAAAACTATAAGCACATTTTGATAAAGTCAAAGACAAAAGGAATCCAAAAAAGGTGAAATAAACCAAAAAGGAATGGACAACCATTATCACTATGTGCACCTGAATGGACGTGACCATGGCATTGTAATAGATCAATGTGAAAATTAAAGTATATGTACTAAAGAAAAAGGATTACAAGATTGTTGGAGCAGCATTTTATTTAATATTTTTAAAGGGTATCATATTGATTTGCTGCTATTCCCCATCCGTTGAATAGTTACTTTGGAACCTAATTTGATTGATGAATTTCTTCGACTAATTGAGAGTTGCTTGAGTTGTACCACGTCGTTGGACTGTTGTATTTTGGAGAGGACAAGTCAAGAGTACTATTGCTGGATCTGTGTAGATTATGCCACAATGAGCTAAAATCTCCTTGAAGAGAACAAGATATTCGTACCTCAACCTGAATATATTTTTATGCATTTTCATTAATTTAGTTTTCAATTGTAATTTATTGTATTTGTGATATATCACACCAACACATGACCGACACTTTACACAGATTTTACGTTATACTCTATCAAAATTGCTAGAATAAAACTTCACACTGTAATTAGATATGAATGAATAAAATTAGTAGCAGAATAAATTTTGTGCTTATCTCTTTAAAATACATTTGATTCTAGAGTAGACATAAAAAGATTATATTCCTCGTCCAATGCTATATATTCTGAAACCACTTCATCATGTCCAACGGTTCGTATCCTGCAACAGCTACTAATTAATAATTGACTCCATCTATAAGACCAACATTGAATAAAAACAGAAAAATTACTAGTCGAATTTTATTACTTAACAATTAAAGTAGTAAGTAATCCATGGATAGAGGAAAACGAAGATCCGGAGAATTAGATTCAGAAGAAGAAGAAGAAGAGTTTAAGGTTGAGGATCTTAATGAAGAAATTTCCAATTCCAACAAATTATATGCGTCTAATTGGAAGAATCGGTTGAAGCTGCTGCGGAATTACTCTACTCTTGACAACAGTAGTACTGTTAGTGTTAGAAATAATAATAGTAGTAGAAGCAGGGGACGCAGAGATCACTGCTATGGATTTATTATTCACCCTGATAATTGGTCAGTCATGCTTATTTAAGGAAAAATCCAATAGCCTTTTGTCACATTACTTTCATTATTTCTATTTATATGACAATGATGAACTTCGGAAAGTCATTTAAATTTTTATAGGTTTTTTGAACTGTTAATTATTTAATAAATTTCCTAACATAGAATTTTTCTTAAACCTTAAGGGTTTGTTTGGTTTGAAGATAAGTTTTGATGTAATTAATTAGTTATGTTGAGACTTGAGATTAGTTAGGATGGTATTATTTATTAGTGAATGAGTTGTTTGTAAATACACTCCATAAGTGTAATATGTGTGAAAATAATGTATAAAAAAAGGTTTGAGGGGGTATTTTTGTCATTTTAATTATTTTATTTCGAGATAAAGCACGAAGGTGAAGATAGCTAATTTTAATACTCCCTAATTATTAATCTAGATATAAGTTTTTCTAGACTTTATAACCAAACAAGAGAATTAAGGTGCTAAAAAATTATCTTAAGATTTAACTCATTTTATTCATTACATAAATGTGTCCTAAGTGTAATATTAAACCCCTTCCTCATTTTTTTTCCTTTTCCTTTTTTAATTAAAAAACGTGTTTAATTTTTTAATCCTTGTATTTCATTGGGCATTGGCGCCAAGGAAACAACCAGTAAACCTGACCCACTTTCCGGCAAAGCGTAATAAAATCAGAATTTTGAATGCAGGTGGTACATACTGTGGACGCAGTTCATTCTGATATGGGCGGTGTACTCCTCCTTCTTCACTCCCCTGGAGTTTGGCTTCTTCAGAGGACTCCCGGAAAACCTGTTCCTTCTCGATATCGCCGGCCAAATTGCTTTCCTCATCGACATCGTCGTTCTCTTCTTTGTTGCCTATCGAGACTCTCATTCTTACTGCATGATCTACGATCGTAAACTCATTGCCATTCGGTTTGTACACTTTTGACTTGCGAAGTATCTTTGTTTTTAATCGCCGATTTTGATTGTACTGAACAGTATGAACCCTTGGATAATTTGCATAGGTACTTGAAATCTCGTTTCCTTGTGGACTTTAAAAACAAAATAAAGATTTTTAAAATTTATGGTCTAAAATGAGCAATAAATATTTCTGTGGCTATGAATCATTTTATTAAGGATAAAATAAAAACTTTAAAGTTAAATTGTTATTAAATATAAAAAAGTGTTTTAGAACCGACTAAAAAAAAAGTTAGTCATATAAATTGGGACATAGAACTTTTAAAGTGAAACGAAATAATTTTTGAAAATTCCATTAGCTATAGAGTAGGAAATAATAGTAAATAGGACGACAAATATTTGATTCGAAAGGAGTATATAATAGATTCCAAATAGTGTAAAAAAGAAAAAAAAATCACTGATAACGTATATAGCTAAAATGCGATGAAAATAAAATCGAAAAAACGAGAGCTTTCGAGACAGCTTCATTGAGATGTGGACAATGAAGATGGAAAATTGGGTCAGCTAAAATGGTTAGATATGCGTCTTATTCACCATCAGGTTTTACTGATCGATGCATGAACGTAAGACACAGACGGAGCTAGGTAGGGGTAAGGAGATTTGATAAATCGACTTTGAAATAGTAATTATATTATTTATATATAATTAAAATTATTTTTATGTATATATAATAGATATGTTGAACTCTTTTTAACTTTTTCATTTGTTGGATGAAAAATAAAAAAAAATAAAAAATCTTTTTCATTTGTTTACTATTTTTCATATATTAAACCTTTTAGTGAAAAATCATAACTCTACCACTAAAAAAACATATCTCCCCTTAAGGCTTTAATCATATACGTCCATTTCATTGTCATTCATTTAACTCCCAAAACTTCATATTATTAAATTAGTGTACAAAAGCCAAACAGAAATTCATATTTACCAAAAATAATAAGGGATTTCCAAGAAACGACGATGTTTGTGAATTTTTGACAAGGAAGAAGAAAAGTAGATTATGTTGATAGACAGAATCTATTACTAAGATGGGTACGTTTTGGATGTATCCTTTCAACTTGCCTATTTTCAATTACCAGCACCAACTTATATGATCTATACTTGGTTTATTATATTATAACATCACTTTTTGAGGTGTTTTAGGGATTTGGGTGGAAGTTGCATATATAATATATATGATGCTAACAAAAGTAGTACACAACTCTGTTTCAACTTGTTTGTCCTATCTTTAATTTATTTTATCTATCTCAAAAAGAATGTCTATTTACTTTTTTGATGATTCTTTAATTCCAGCTATTCACATGACATGTTTAAGATCACAAGATTTGCATATCCTTAATTTAAGACTACAAAATTAAAAAAATTATTCTCCCTAAGCTCCGTATCAAGTTGTGTTACGTTGTTTGCACGTAAAGAGACTACAAGTAATAGGTCATGCCCTTTGTAATAGTCTCACAACTGAACTCTCTCAATTTAATAGTCCTCAAGAAGTCTCTATCAATCCCTACAATCATGGAGGACGTGAATTAAACTGCAATTCTCAGTATGTTTACATGTTATGCTAGCTTAGTTTGGCCCTCGAGTTAAAAAGAAAAGAAGTAAAGATCAATATTCAATCAAGTATCTTAAAGAGAGGTCCAGGCATGAGGGCGACTCAAACACATTGGTGGCCTAAAGTCAAAATTAGAAAAGTTGCTAATAACTTTTTTATAATCCTTATTGTTGAGGAATTGATCAAGTGCACATCAGTGCCTTGAAGACGTCTGCACACTGGATTATTAATTAAGTTTGTTACAAGTTGTTAGTTAGTTACAAGTTTGTGAGTTAGTCATCAATGTATAAAAGCATTACTCCTGTACATAACTTCACAGTTTTTGAGTCTATGAAGAAAAGCTCCCACAAATGCTCTCTACGTTTTACAGTTTTCTTCTTCAATTGAGTATGTTTTGATATGGTATCAGAGCCACACAGAGCTCAATGACGAATCCTACAATGGCGGATGCAAGTAATTCATCACCTATTCCAGTCACTAGTACAGGATCAGTACCTCTAATCGATTATCATCATCCTCTGCACTTGAGTGCATCTGATGGACCAGGTTCATTGCAAATTGGAATTCAGCTCGTCGGAATGGAGAATTACATGTTATGGACTCGTGCGATGAAGGTTGCACTCTTAGGAAGAAACAAGTTAGGTTTTGTAGATGGATCGATCACTAGAGAGACGTATGGATCTGCGTCAGGACATCTCTGGGATCGATGTAATGCGATTGTGGTCTCGTGGTTGATAGGGAATGTCAGTCGTGATCTATTGAGTGGAATCCTTTCTCGATCGGATGCGAATCTGATTTGGAAAGAGCTTGAAGAGAGGTTTAACAAAATCAATAGTTCCAGACTCTATGCATTACACAAGGAGATCTTCACTCTTACACAGGGGACACGTCCAGTCTCTGTATTCTATTTCAGACTCAAGGACTTATGGGATGAATACGACTCGATGATGCCTCCTCCTTCATGCAACTGTGAGAAATCAAAGGAGTATCTGGCTCAACTTCAATATCAAAGGCTACTTCAATTCATGATGGGATTGAATGATGGATACAACCAAGCTCGAAGCCAAATTCTCATGAAATCTAAGATGCTAAGTGTTAATCAGGCGTATGCTTTAATTGTGCAGGATGAAAGTAAAAAATTAGCAGCTGGAAGTAGTTCTAATTATCATGATGGAGGATTTGTTGTTTTCTTCACTTCTAAGAGCTCTGGATCTAAGAAGAAAAACTGGAATTCTGTGTGTGATTTCTGTCACATGAAGGGACATGTAAGGGAAGATTGCTTCAAGTTGATGAAATGTGATCACTGTGGAAAGACAGGGCACCTAATTGGCAAATGCTACCAGTTGATTGGTTATCCAGCTGACCACAAATTCAAATGGAAGAATGCTCAGGCCAATCTTGTGAACTCACAGCAAGAGGGACAAATGACTGTACCAGAGGATCAGTATAATGACTATGTCATATGGAAACAAATGAGGGACAAAGCTTCAATCTCAGGAACTAGTGCAAACATGGCAGGTAAGTGTTTCACAGACTCATTTACTGAATGGATAGTGGATTTTGGGGCATCTAATCATATAACTGGAAGTGAACATTTATTATTACGTGATGGAACAGTAGGTAATGCAGGAAATGTTCAGTTACCTACTGGAAATTTTGCTCAGATTAGTCACTCTGGGAATTATCCATTATCAAGAGGTGATCTCCTTAAAGATGTTCTTTGTGTACCATCTTTTAGATTCAATCTTATGTCAGTCTCCAAGGTGACAAAAGACTTGAATTGTTCCGTTACATTCTATCCTGAACAATGTGTATTTCAGGATCTTTGCACTGGGAAAGTGAAGGTGACTGGTAGAGAACAAGATGGATTATACATACTGAATACACAAAATAATGATACTTACATGACTGAAGGGAAATCTATGGCTGTATCTGAGAATATATTTGTGAATAGCAGAAGCAAATCAACGTGCCTGCCTCTGTTCTTCTATATATAGGAAATCATGTACAGATATACTTACACATAAGTAAGAGTCCTAATAAGAGTCTAAGAGTCCTAACAAGAGTCCTAATACGCCCCCTCAATCTGAACGGGCAGAAATGACAGACAGATTGTCACGCAAAAAAGAAAATTGAGACGATGATAATCCTTTTGTAAAAATATCAGCAAACTGCAATCGAGTTGGCACATAATCTACAACAAGATCTCCTTGAGCGACTTTATCACGAACATAGTGAAAATCCACATCAATATGTTTGGACCGATCATGAAACACTGGATTGTGAGTCATATACATAGAGCTAACATTGTCACACATTACACGAACTAGTTCACAGAGATATACACCAAGCTCAGAAAGAACATGTTGAATCCAAGTGGTTTCAGCAACAGTGTAGGCAATAGCTCTATATTCGGCTTCAGTAGAAGATCTAGAGACAGTAGGTTGCTTCTTCGCACGCCAAGAGATAAGATTAGATCCCAAAAATACTACAAATCCAGTAGTGGAATGCCGACTATCTGGGCAGCCAGCCCAATCAGCATAAGAATAGGCCACCATTGTAGACGTGGATGATAATGCGCTCATAAAAAGACCATGTGTAATAGTACCTTGCAAGTACCTAAAAATACGCTTCACCGAGTGCAAATGAGTGGTACGAGAAGCATACATAAATTAAGAAACAACACTTACAGCATAAGCAATATCAGGACGAGTCAAAGTTAAATATTGAAGTGCACCTACCATGCTCCGATATTCAGTAGGATCTGAAAGCAACTCGTCATCCACAAGTGAAAGGGAAATTCGAGAAGCAAAAGGGGTATGAACGGGCTTGCAAGTATGCATATGAAACTTAAGCAATAAATCAGATACATATTTTTGCTGAGATAGATGAAGGCCAGTAGATGTACGGGTAGTATGGACACCAAGAAAGTAATAGAGATCACCAAGATCTTTCATGGCAAATTGACGTGAAAGACACTTAATAAAATCATCAACTATAGAAACATGACTTTCAGTAAGGATAATATCATCAACATAGAGTAATAAAATGAGAATTCCAGATGAATAGTGACGAATAAACATAGAGGAATCTGATTTACTACTAATAAATCCATTATCAAGAAGAAATGTACTAAAGCGATGAAACCAAGCACGGGGAGCCTGTTTCAAACCATAAATAGCTTTGGTTAGTTTGCATATGTGATGAGGATAATCAGGATGAATAAATCCAGGTGGTTGTTTCATGAACACCTCTTCACAAAGCACACCATGTAAAAATGCATTTTTAACATCTAATTGACGAATTGACCATGAATGAGAGATGGCAAGAGAAAGGACAATGCGAACATTTATGGCACGGACAATAGGACTAAAGGTCTCATGATAGTCAATACCAGGTTGTTGGTGAAATCCCTGTGCTACAAGGCGAGCTTTATATCGCTCAACAGAACCATCTGAATTATACTTAATGCGATAAACCCATTTACAACCGACCAAGTTCATGTTGGGGTTAT